TGGTAACCATTTTGAATAGTCTACCCTCTTTCCTTATTGTGGTTGTCACCACATTAAGAATGAACCCTGCCGCTAAATTTGTCACTGATCTTCCTATGCACCTAACAATAGAACAAGACTTAATAGTCAGTAGGAAAGAACCAAAACTGAATATGGTGCAGCAAGAACTGAACTATGTTCGCCAGAGGCATAATACTGGAAGCTATAAAAACCTTGGTCCTAGCAAACCACAACCGCGAGGATCGAAATCACAGCAGTTCAAGAGAAAGAAAGTATCCCGCGGAGCCTACTACAATTGTGAAAAGTTCGGGCATTTCACGCCCAATTGCCCGCAAGGTGAAAAACAGGAAAATAAGGGAGGCTATAAGCATTCAGAACAATGGGGTACTAGCAAAAGAGAATTCGTCGGTGTGACAGAATGCAATGCTGTGATGACGGATATCAGCGGTTGGTGGATCGACTCCAGTGCGACCAGACATATCGCAAAGGATAAGAATGGAGTCATAGAATTCACCGAGCTAAACAAATGAAAACAGAGAATCTATATGCGAAATAATACTTATCTCGATGTAGAAGGTATTAGTTCGTATAGATTGGATCTTGGCATGGTTTTAAATATCGGCCGATAATCTGATATTATCGACGAGTTATCGGATTTGGGAGCTTTCGGCTAGGATAAGTAGGATTTTTAATCGGTTATCGTTTTTTGAGGTTTATCGGCGAGTTATCGGCGATAAAGGTACTTATCAGCCGATAAGTAGGCTCTAAATATCGGCTTTATCGGCCGATAAGTAGGATTTGGGAGCTTTTACTTTCTTTTGGATTTGCTCTTTGAATGTTTACAAATTATGAACTATTTGTTGCTTTTGGAACTTGGTTGATTGGTGATTAGCTTATGTTTATTTATGGATATTGATAATGGCTCATAACTACTAAATATCAACTTAGTAAAGTTAGTTTATGAATCTCATGATTAAACAATAATTATGTAGATGCGTAGATGGTTCTTCATTCTTGATGTTATCTTATTATTTACTAGTTTATTATTCCATTTTGACTAACATTATATTATTTTTCAAGCTTATGTTTGTTTATTATTTGCTAGTATATTACTCCGATAAATACTACTTATCCCTGATATATCTCCGATTTTCGCTATCCGATAAGAATTTTGATCGTCCGATAAATCCCCGATAACCGACATTTAAAACCTTGGATCTTGGGAACAATGTCCTTGTCCTCAAAGATGTGTTCTATGCACCAGGAATTCGATGCAATCTGATCTTTGTTCCCAGCTTGATGAAGAAAGGACTGGAGGTTAGGTTCTACAATGACCGGATTTCTACAGGGAAAAATAATAAAGTGTATGCTATGGAAAAATATGTGCCCGAGCATGAATTATTCATTCTTTCAGTAGTTTGTAATAATTCTGATAATAAAATTTTAAATTTGAACTACTTGTCATGTTATATTTCTGAGTCTGAATTGTGGTTTCTAGACTAGGACATGCTAGTATTTCAAAAATAAAAGAATTTATCAGAATGAACTTACTTCATGCACTATCTAATGTTCAATTACCACCATGTAAACATTGTTTAACTGGTAAAATGACTAGAAAACTTTTTATTGACGGACAAAGAGCCAATGAATTTTTAGGGTTGATACACTCGGATATTTGTAGTCCCCTAAGTGTAAAAACTCATAGTAATAAAGAATGTTTTATTACTTTTATAGATTATTATTCTAAGTTTGCACACGTCTATCTTATATCCAGAAAATTAGAAGTTCTTGACTGCTTTAAGAGAGAGAAGACAGAAGTTCAAAACCAATTTGGATTGAAAATCAAAATTTTGAGAACTAATAGAGGTAGGAAATATAACTCTAAAGAATTTGAGAGTTATTGTATTCAGCATGGAATTAAAAGGCATACAACAATGTCGTAAATATAACTCTAAAGAATTTGAGAGTTATTGTATTCAGCATGGAATTAAAAGGCATACAACAATGTCGTATACGCCACAACAGATTTGAGAGTTATTGTATTCAGCATGGAATTAAAAGGCATACAACAATGTCGTATACGCCACAACAGAATGATATTACTGAAAGAAAAAATAAAACATTGCTGAATGTAGTTAGATGCATGTCGTCTCATTCTAGTCTCTCCAAATTTTTTTGGGGAGAAGCATTGTTAACTACAAACTACATTTAAATAGAATTCTCACCAAGTTGGTGGTATCTACACCTCATAAATTATAGAATGGGAGGAAACATAATCTGAGTCATCTCAGAAAGTGGGGATTTATAGCCCATGTTCTCATTCCATATCAACTTAAAGATAAGTTGGATTTTAAAACAATAAAGTATAGATTCATAAGGTATTCAGAAAAGTCAAAATATTATAAGTTCTACAATAAAGAAAATGGGGTCATTGAAAGCAGAGATGATATATTTCTAGAAAATCTAGAGGAAGAGGAACAAGTTCAAGAGAAAATATAACCTCTGATTGTAATAGATGATGATTATTACGGTGTTGTTCCCACTAATGACCCTGACATTGTGAATGAACCTAACCTTAAAAACGATGAACTATCTATGAAAAATAATGTACCCGATCAACCGGTTGTAGGCAACAACAGGCCAAGAACACAACCTTCATGGATGATTACTATTTGTATTCATGTGAGTCATTCTGTTTCTCGGTAGATATAGAAGAACAAGATCCTTAACCTTCTCTGATGCGATGAAATCGCATGAATCGACTTTATAGCTAGAATCCATGAGAGAAGAACTTGATTCTATAGAAAAAAAATAAGGTATGGGAGTTATGTGATCTACCAGAAAATAGAAAAGTCATAGGATGCAAATGGGTGCTTAAAAAATATCGTGTTGATGGATCTATTGATAAATTCAAAGCACAGTTAGTTGCCAAGGGTTACAACCAGAAGGCGTGAATAGAATTTCAGAAGACGTATTCTCCTATAGCTAAATTTGCATCTATTAGAATCATTTTGGCTATTGTTGCATATCTTGATTTGGAGTTATTCCAGATGTATGTTAAAACTATATTCCTTAATGGAGAGTTGAAAGAAGCGATATATATGTAACAACCTGAAGGTTTTCAGGTGAAAAGACAGAAACATAAAGTTTACAAATTAATGAAATCTCTATACGGTTTAAAACAGTCTTCTAGACAATGATATCTCAAATTTCATGATGCAATCACTAAACTTGATTTTATTCAAAATAAATTAGATAATTATGTATATGTCTTAAAAAGTGTGAGCAAATTTACTAAATTATCCTTATATGTGGATGATATATTGCTCGCTGGAAATGACATAGAAATGTTGGATAAAATCAAGGCAGATCTTAGTGAAAAGTTTAAGATGAAAAATATGGGAGATGCATCATATATTCTTAGAATTCAAATAATTCGAGATAAAATGTCTAGAATGCTAAGTTTAAATCAAGAAAAATATTTAAGATCAGTGCTTAAAAGGTTTGGAATGGAGAATTCCAATCCGGTGCCAACTCCATTGGTCATGGGAAAGAGATTATGTAAAGAGCAATGCCTTAGAGAGAGGCAAAAGTCATTAGATGTTTATTATGCTCAAGCAATTGGAAGCTTGATGTATGCAATGTTGTGCACCAGACATCATATAGCTTATGCTGTAAGTCTAGTCAATCGATATCAAAGTATCCAGGACCAGCACATTGGGAAGATGTTAAAAGGATTATGAAGTATAGCACAGGTACATTGACTCATAGATTAGTTTATCAAGCCGATTTGCTTGATCTCCTTGGTTATTCCGATACTGGTTTCGGAGGTGACAAAGATGATGGAAAGTCCACTTCGGGACACTTATTCATCTTTGGAGGAGTAGCTGTTTCTTGGAGTAGCAAGAAACAATTGTGTTGCTAGATATACGCAAGAAGCTGAATATATAGGTTACAGTATGGCAACTACACATGTTGTCTGGATAATACGGTTTTTGATTGATCTAGATCTCAATTTGTTAGAAAGACCTATTAATATTTATTGTGCTAATCAAGCAGCGATTAGCTTGATCAATAGCGGTGCGAATAGCTCAAAAAAAACATGTTGATATCCAGTATCACTATATTTGAGATATTGTATAAAAGGGAGAAGTTAAAGTGACTTATATCCCTACTACAGATATGGTTGTTGATCCTTTGACAAAAGGAATTTCAGCAAAATCTTTTTATCAAATATGTAAGTTTGATGGGACTTAGGAATAAATAAGTTCAAATAAAATTTCATGAATAATGAAATAAAAGTTACTCTCTATGAATAGTGGGAGTAATGGCAAGAAAAAACATCTGATCTCACGGATAGTGGGAGGCATATCACTTGGTTGATTTGGTCAAGTAGGAAATGTTACCTTAACTCGGTCTTGTGTGACAAAATCAACGTTCCTCAGTTGAGAGAAACGTGAAAAAAAAATTGTAAAAAGCATGAAAACGTGGGAAAGGGTTTGTTAAGATAAAATCTCTCAAGGGCAGTTACGAGGGGGTGGAGATAGTAGGTTTGGCCCCTATAAAAGGAGGAGTATTCTCCTTGAGGAAATATAGAACAAAAAGAAGAAATCAAACTCACTTACCTATTACCGGAGCCCCCTCAAAGAAATCTCGTCGTTCCCTCTTTTCTTCTCTCTGTTCACTAGAGTTTTTGCAACATGTTTGTGAAACACCCTCAATTGCAATATGTGACTTGGATGAAAATTGACTACAACTCGTACTTGCAACTTAGAATAACTATAATCCCTCGTGACTTGCAACTACCGTCGCAATTTGCTCCACTAAAAAATCTTAAAAATTCCTAACAATTTAAAAGTTAATGGTACGATAGTTTATAAAACAAGATAAAGATCATTATATTTAGTGAACGATAGTCATTAAAATCTTTTTATAATTACCTAAAAACCAAATTCAAACTTTCCTAACCACTTCTGCATGTTGCAATGTGGATTTCGCAGCTAATTAATCACGGAGTGCTAGCAGAGGTGATGGAGAAGGTGAAGGAAGATGTCGCCAATTTCTTCAAGCTTCCTTTGGAGGAAAAAGAAGCTTTCAAACAACTACCAAGCGGTGTGGAAGGCTATGGGAACCTCTTTGTAATTTCAGAAGAGCAGAAATTAGACTGGAAAGACATACTTGTATGCTATACCCAGCCACAAACAAAGCGGAACATGAGATTCTGGCCTACGAATCCTCCAACATTCAGGTTAGTACTCAATAATCCAATTGGGACAAAAAAGATAAATAGAAAACTTATCGAAACTCCCGTGTATGCCAGTGGAGTGTTCTAAACCATAAACAGAGCAGTGGAAATATCAAATTTGTCATTCATACTCTTCTCCTATAGGGTTCAGACCAACCAGCTTGCATGCAAGTGTTCTTGTAAGATTTGTAAGCAAAATAACTTGTGATCTACAAATATCTCATTCACATTTATTATAATTGCCAATAGTATCAGAAAAGTATTAGAACAAAGTTTAGTCTCACATTAGTAAGAATGTAATTGTAGCCCCTTTGAAATTAAGTTTCTTTCCATCATAACGCTGGTACAGAAGAAGTATCAGAGCAGTTAGCACATTAAGAAAGTTAAAAGTAATCAGTTCTGCATTGAAATGTACTTCTAGCCTATTTGCGCTCTGTAATAAAACCTAACTGTCTATCCCTCTATCTATCTATATGAGTTTAAAACTGTTTAAATCATCGCAACCCTTTGTTTTTTCTCTTGTATTTCAGGGAGACTGTTGATAATTACTCTAGCGCATTGAAGGGAGTATCAACTTCTCTATTAGGATCACTGTCTCACTGCCTGGGACTTGAATCTCAACATCTAATCAATGTTTTTGGAGAGCAAGTACAGGCTATGCAATTCAACTACTATCCGCCATGTCCGAAAGCTAACAAAGTTTTGGGCCATTCTCCTCACTCTGATGGCACTGGGTTAACAATTCTATTGCAAGCAAACAATGTTTCAGGTTTACAAATTAAGAAGAGTGGTAAATGGTTCACTGTTGAACCGTTACCGGGAGCTTTTGTTGTTAATGTTGGTGATCTTCTTGAGGTGAGCCTTATCTTAACTGCATAAATTTTGCTTGGTTATCTGTACACAAACCGAACATAGTTATCTTTGTTATCTGACTATCTGTACATGCACTAGGTCGGCAGCTTCAAAATCCTATAGATTTTCTATTAGCATTTTGACTTACTGAACCAAAAATCAAATTTGTCTCCTCATTAATTACTTGTTTGATGTTTCATGTGATGTCAATTCTTTTGTAAAAAGATTTTCGGACATTATAATGTGTTGCAAAGAGATCTTGTATTCTCCTGCAAGCATTGAGCATAACATCCCCATAGTACATATTACTAGAATCTTTAGTAACACCGAAAATGAAACTATCATAAACAATGACACGAGATGTATATATGCAATTAACCCTCTTCTATTTTCAAATTAGATATTTAGCAATGGGAGATACAAGAGCGTGGAGCACAGGGCGACGATAAACCCTGAAAATGCCCGTATCTCAGTAGCAGCATTTCACACGCCAGCATGCAAAATCATCGGTCCTCTTCCCGAGCTCTTAAAGGGAGGTGAAGAATTATACAAGACCACGAGTGTAGATGACTTTGAAAGGGGATATTTTGCAGCAAAACTCAATGGAAAGAGCCATTTAGAGTGCATGAAGATATCAAAATGAAGAATTCATGTCTTTATTTTATGTTTCCCTAGCATTTTCTTTTAATAAATAGATTTGCATTCACGCACGAACACAGGTTAGCAACAATCCGATCCAAAGTGTGCTTTTGGTTAAAAAAAATGTCACTAGTCAAAAATAAAGTGTTCATGTACATTAGATGTAGTCTAAACCTTCATGTTTTGCATTGTGTTCTCTGTCAATTCTCATGTTAAGGAAGATGGAAATATATTTCCAAGTTACCATGATTTTGTTGAATCTACTTTTGGGACATTTAGTATCTAAATGGACTAAGTGCAGTCTGTACTTATTTTAGAGGAATTGATGTATGTAAGTTTTGAACATGTCATGATTCTTTTGCTCACCGTGAAACTTGCTTTGTGATGTGATTTACAAACGTAACTCCATAGAATGAAGTCCTTCTAAACATCAAACTAGTTGTCGGCAAGGTTTTAAATATTGGTTATCAAGGATTTATCGGACGGCCAAAGTCCTTCTCGGATAGCAAAAATCAGAGATATATCGGGGATAAGTAGTATTTATCGAAGTGATATACCCTATAATGTATACATATAATATAATACCCCAAAATGTAATCTAACCATACTCTCCTCTTTCATTCTCTTGACCTTCACTAAATAACCAGAGGAAAAACCCAACTGAATAGTGAATATTAGCTGTTGCTATAACTTCAGAAGTTGTGTTGAGGGTGTGGCGTCAATGGAGAGTCCAAGTTGAACTGTTGAAGTCACAATTGATGATGGCGTCAATGGAGACATCTCAACATCGATGGAGAGCTCAACGTCAGTCGACGTCGTCGAGTCGATCAGTTGATGATGGCGTCAATGGAAAGGTCAGCATCGGTCGACGTCGTCGAGTTGATGAAGTTGACGTCGATGAGAGAGCAACATTGAATGATCAAAGTCAATAGCGTTGAGGACGTTGATGAGAGAGTAGCATCGATAGCGTTGAGGTCAGTGAAGTCCGAAGAGGAGCGGAGGCCAACGCCAAAGTTGGCAGAGGCGAGCGTCAAGGTCGACAGAGTCCAAAGAGAACGGAGATCAGAGAATTAGGGTAGTGGGGATGGCCGTACAAATGAGGGAGAGAGAACGGAGGATTAGGGCTACAGAATTAGGGTTAAGTTTTATTGTAAAGAACGGGTCAGGTCGGGTTTCAAGTTCACTCAAAAACTGCCCATTACCCAAAATCACAATCCAATAGTGTCGCCCGATAATTCCGATTTTTAGAGCTGATAATCACCTTTATCGTCGCATTATCGCCAATAAACCCCAAAAAACGACAACCGATTTAAATTCTAACTTATCCTATCAGAAAGCTCCCAAAACTGATAACTCGGAGATAATATCGGATTATCGATCGATATTTAAAACATTGGTTGTCAGTTTATATTCAATATGGAGTTGACTAATTTTGTGAGGAAATTAAGGTGTTTTGTTAATATGAGAAAATAAAATAAGAGGTAGGGGGTCTCACCATGAGGGTATCTTAGGGATTTATCATACTATCAACAAAATACAACAACAACCAAACATTTATCCCAAATGTTTGGGGTTGGCTACATGAATCCTATTTTTCCATTTCATTCTGTTATGGGTCATCTTCTCCGTTAAGTTAATCTTAATCCTATCCTTCTTAATTGCTTCTAACCAAGTCATTCTAAGTCTACCTCTAGATCTCCTAGCCCCATTAACTCTAATATTATTATTTTTCCTAATCGATGCACTAAGAAGTCTTTGTTGTACATGACCAAACCATCTTAATCTATTCTCTCTCATTTTATCCTCAATGGGCACAACATCTAATTTACTATGGATACACTCATTTTTTATCCTATCTTTTAATGTATACTCACATGACTATCGTAACATTCTCATTTCTGCTACACTCATGAATGTGCTTAGTAAGTTAGTCTATAACTAATGTAAAAAGATAAGGACTTAAAGCTGAACCTTGGTGTAAATCTATGATAATAGAAAATCGATTAGTCTCTCCTTCATTAATTCTTACTCTAGTTGTTACTCTATCATACATATCTTTAATCATATTAATATATATACTAGATACATGTTTCTTTTCTAACACACACCACGTTACCTCTCTAGGACTCTATCATAAGCTTTTTCTAGATCGATAAAAACTATATATAGATCCTTCCTCTTTTCTCTATATTTCTCCATCAACCATCTCAAAATATGTATAGGTTCCTTAGTTGACCTTCCAGGCATAAAATCAAATTAGTTTTTAGATATACTTGTCTCTTTTCTTAGTCTTTACTCAAGTATCCTCTCCCGGTGTTTCATAGTATAACTCATGAGTTTTATACCTCGATAATTTGAACAACTTTGTATATCCCATTTATTCTTATATATTGGTATAATTGTATAAAAGTACTAATCCCCTTTAACAGGATATTGATGGAAATTTTGGCTTGGTTGCACTTTGTTAGCGGAACATATTGTCATAGTGGTTTTACAAAAACTAAAATTTTCATGGTGGTTTTCCACAAAACCACTATACTTTATGGTGGTTTCGTATAGAAAACCTTTCTTTATAAAACAAATATGTATAATTATGACAATAATTGTGATTGTCTGGACTTAAGCAATTGACAACATTGGTTATGTATTCCCAAAGTACCGCACTGCAGTACACGTATTCTGCTAAACCTGTGTTATCAACTAGGATTTCGGATTGATTCATTAGTCAAGTGATAACATAGTTGTGAATACTACCTTAGGATGAGAATTATATCTTGAGTTGGGATAACGTTTTATACAGGACAACCTGCGACCGTATGGATGGGCCATGACAAAATTTTCACTAAGTTATTTTATGTATATAAGAAGCAGCCAGTCATGTTGACCTAGGCCACAGACTGGTGCGACCTGACCCCTATATAGGAGTATCGGAATAGGGGCGTTACATAAAGAAGTGTGAACTTCAGTTGGAAAAAGTTTTGCTTCTAGGACATGAGCTCTCTAGAGATAGTACATTTGTAGATTGGCCTTGTCCAACAACAATGACATGAATTCAAAGTTTCTTGGAATTAGCGAGTTACTGTAATAGATTTGTACAAGGATGTTCGAAGAATACTAAGTTTGTATGGAATGATAAGTGTGATTCGAGTTTTTAGGAATTAAATAAATGATTGGTGACAACCGATAACACGTGCTTGCCCTTCCTTCTAGTAGGGATAAATCTGTGACATACAGGTGATGCACCCCCACAAGCAAGGTTTAGGATGTGTGTGCTAATGCATAACAGGGAAGTAGTAGCGTATGCTTCAAGACAATTGAAACCCCATGAACAGAACTAACTCAACTCATCCAAAGTAAGTTGCAAAATGTATAAAAATAAGAGATTACAGAAGTAAATAGAATCATTTTCTGACCAGTAGGCTTGACAAGTTGTCTCACGATGCCAGTAAAATCATCTGTTCAATTTCATGCCATCCAGCAAACTCTTGCCTTCAAGTTTTGCAGAGAAGAAGAGTTTGATGAAATCCTTATTGTTTAAAGTCCTATACCTAGCTTCATTAACTCCAGAGATATCTGGAAGGGGGCCAATCATGAAATCAGAGTTTGGGCTGTGAAATGCCGCGATTGAAATACGCTCTTTCTCTTTGTTCACTATGGCCCTATGCTCAATACTTTGATATATCCCATTGCTCAATATCTACATGAAATGAAGAAATGGGAATACATTTAACCTGGGGAATAAAAGTAACTGATTGAAATAGCCAAACTTTAGTATCATAGAAGGGCTTACTTCACTGTGGTACCCCCAAAGTTTACCCCTTGTTTTCGGTGTGATGCCTCCAAGAATTTTTGTTTTTTAAAACACTTTGAGAACCCCAAAGTTTCAATTCATCCACTTGGATAACCCGTCCAAACTTCGTTAGATTTTCTATTAAATTTATATCATGTGTTTAGCATGTGATAATCCTCGTCCATTGCTGGTGGAAACATTTGGTTGTTTGGATCCCTAACAACTGGGGTAAAATGGACCTAAATGGAATATATATTTAATATTAGAGGTATCAAAGTGTAATAGAATCGAAACTATAGAGCATCAAAGTGTTAAAAAATACGCTTGGGTATCAAAGTGAAAATACGTGTGAACTTTGGGGTAGCAAAATGAAAATAAGCCTTATAGAAGGGATAAACTATAACAAGGATGAACTGAACTGAATACTTATTCAGAAAGAATCACAATTACCTCAAGGCTGTCACCAATATTTACGACAAAAGCACCAGAAAGAGGCTTGACAGTAACCCATCCACCATTTTTCTTGATCTGCAAACCCTGGACTTGATTTGCTTGAAGAACCAACGTTATAAGTGAACCGTCAGAGTGTGGTGAGAAACCTAGTACTTTCTCAGCTAGAGGGCATGGCGGGTAATAGTTTACCCTCACTGATTGTATTCCATCCTTAAACATATTGGCGAAAACTTCCGGGTTGATTCCCAAGTTCTTAGCCATGAAACCAAGTACAACATCGGCTAGTAAGTAGAGTTCCGATGAGTACTTATCTAGTGTATGCCTTGTGGGGGGAAAAAAGAATTGATCAAACAGAACTTGCTGGTCAAGATTATAGCATAAAGACAAATGAACACTCATCAAAGATTTAATTGTAAAATAAATTGTAACTTTTTTAGCTTATAACAATGGAAATAAATGAAAGTGCAAAGTAAGGCCAAAGCTGACCTCCCCGACCTAGTCCCTCCCTGTTACTAGCTCCAAGATGAAGGCTATATGAAAATTTAAAAGCACAATTGTGGGTGCAGCAAGGGCAAGGTCATGTTCACTACACCAAAAATATCCTCACTTTCATAAAACCCTCATGTTAGCAATTGATAAAGCTGAATGATTCCCATCTCAATGTTAACTTTCAAGACAGCAAAATAGATACAAAGAGGGTCACATAACAAGTAGGCAAAATATAACTTGGGCATATTGACACATTGTTAAAATTACTGCCGAGGGAATAATATTAAGAGCAAACATCTAAAATTATGTATCAAAGTTTGGATACTCTAAAAAGACTGTTGATTTTGCCCAAAATAAAACTTTTGATTAGCTACTCATAGAAATTTAAATAGACGACAATACACATGAAATAACATAGTTAAAAAAAGATTCACCGATTAACGGTCAGTAAACAAGATTTGTGGTAGAGAAAAGGGAGAAAGGACAACTAGTGAGAGATAACAAGAATTCGTTATGGGAAAGCAATAATTTTCAAGCTTAGGGTTCTACAAGAGAATGTTATGGCACACCTTCGGTTTACCTGAATGTCAGTGGTTGAGAAGGCCAGAAACTCATGTTCCTCTGCTTAACTGGTTGGGTATTGAGGTAAAGAATGTCGGCCCAATCAAGCTTTTGGTCCTCTGACATAACAAACAATTGGCCATACCCTTCCAGATTGCCAGGTAACTGCCTACATGCCTTCTTTTCCTCTAATGGAAGCTTAAAGAATTTGGTAACATCAACCTTAACCTTCTCAATAACTTCATAAGGAATGTTATGATTTATCAACTGCAATATAAAACACAGCGTTGTTAATCATAACTAAACAGATGTGAGAAATATAGCTAACAAGTAATTATAAAGTAACACTACTAACATGCAACAGAGATTAGTCAAAGGTTAGAATATGCGATTTGGGTAAAAGAAAATATATGAATTATATATATGCAAGGAAGGTACCCCCATTCATGGCATGGTATATGCAATTATTGCCAATTTAATTTGATGTAAGAATAGAAAATATCCTAAGAGGTCAAAAAAATGAGAAAGTTTAGGTCTTTGACATAAAATACATGAGACTGAATTCCTATCTTAGATTTGTGGCTCTGAACAATGGATAGGCTTCCTTTGGATATCTTCTCAACAAATAGGCTAAACAGCAATTAAATACCTTATATAGTTTAACTTATCGTGCACTTATATACCCTTACTTGTTTTTTGCAGTATTTATATAAGTTATTTAAAGTTGGCACCCTGCTAGCCTCGGTTGTGGGGAGGTGAAAGTTTTCACCCGAATGTTCCAACATGACACGTATATGCTCGCTGATTCTGAGTGTCATGTGAGAACATTCGGGTAACTTTCCATGTCTGCACAACATAAGCTAGCAAAGAGTGAATTCTAAGCAACTTCGGGTATGTCAATTTTACAAAAAAAATAAGTGAGGGCATATTAAGCGCAGGGGCGGATCCACCTACAGGGAAGTGGTGTCATGTGACACCACTTCCCTTGGGAACATACAAGTAATTGGTTCAGTGCCTTGATTTTCAAGCAGGCACAAGCCCAAATCAAATGAAATTTCTTTGCTGCATTACCCCCAATATTAGAGATAGTCAAGTGTTGGTATAGTGGAGACTACGTGAAATCACTTGATTATTTTCTAGTTTGACTAGGTGAGGAGTTAAAAAGAGTTTTCTCCTGCATATTAAAGAGTTAGGCGCCTCTGAAGTGGGCATAGGCCATACTGTAAAACCATATAAATAATTGTGTTCTTTGAGTTTTGCTTTTTGATTCAGTATTTCGGCTGTGTATTTTATGCACCCAACAGACTAATCCAATCACAATAGGTTTCTTACATATTTATAGGTTGATTTTAAAATGCGATTATTTATTTGATAGTATTACTAATGATATATTTGATAGTGTTGCCTATTATGAGATATTGAGATTTTTTCTTTTCCTCACGATATGAAAAACTTTCAGGGACAATTATAAACTAATTATTCTTATATGGTGACAACTTTTCAGAAATCCTGGATCCGCCACAGATTAAGTGCCAACTGAGTGAAAAATATAAAGTATTTAAGTGCTATTTAGCCCCCATTTTTTGCGCTTTATAATGAGCATTGAAGGATAAAAGCAAAGGCGCTCTATAGATTTCCCTTATTTAACTCAACCGCAAAAAATTTTATTTTTAGGAAGCAAACATGATAAAAGATTTTTCAAGAGAGAGAGAGAGTTTTACCTGAAAGAAGCCCCAGTCTCGACAAGCGAGATGAAGCCTGGCAGACTCTTGTGCAGATAATTCAGGGTCGATCAATCTGCTGAAATCAACGATTGGGATCTCCCAGTCGTCATCGCTGACCACAGGATCAAGCTCGGCTTCAGCCCTTAAGTATCTCAAGGGGATACTTTCCGAGCCGTGGAATTCCTCGGAGAGAGATTGCACATTTGGTACTGGGAGGGACCCAATAGCCTTCGATTTCTCATCCATTACCTCACCTCGTAAGCCTGGTTGCCTTAATGGTTGCCGGTGGAAGTGGAAGCAAGCCTCGCACGGTGACGCTGGGTTGGAGCCAAAGAATCTCTAGCAATCACTGCAATAGATACCCTGTACTTTCAACCATATTGCACTTATGTACCCTCACTTGTTTTTGGCTGCATCTATATACTCATTCGCATTTTTTTAAAAAAAATCGACACCCTTAAGTTTTTTTTACAAAAACCAACCCATTTTTTTAATATGGTTCCTAAATAGTCGGGGTTGCCAACCACGACTATTTAGTGCATAGAATGTTAGGATTTAAGGTTGTAATTGAGGTTTAGTAACCTCCTAAATAGTTGGGGTTGGTAACCCCGACTATTTAGGAACCAGATTAAAAAAATTCGATCCACTTTCTCACCACGATGCTGACGTGGCGAGAAAGTTGGTCGATTTTTGTAAAAAAACTTAAGGGGTCGATTTAAAAAAAAGTTGAATGGGTTTATTTAGAAAATTTCTTCCTCCAAAGTTTTGTATGCTCGAACTTGTTTACAGCAGCACTTATATACTCTAAAGTAATAAAACGTGCACTTAAATATTCTATAGTTTTTAAAACTTGCACTTAAATACCCTCGAGTTCGCATAACTGATGGCATTTAAGTGCAAGTTTTAAAAACTTTAGGGTGTAAGTCCTGTCAAAAACAAATGATGATATATAAGAGCAAATTAGGGGAAACTATATGGTATTTAAGTGAACTTAAGCCTTCTTGGTAATAAAGAAGTTTTTATTTTTAATTTGGCATGTATAACAAATAGGTTGATAATATTTGCAAATTTATCCTCCGAATCTAGAGTTTCGCTAATGTATCCTCAATCTTCTATACTGATTTTTTTAACCGATGGCTCTATTATTGGCCTCTTTGTTTTGATGATGTTTAACAAACAATTTACCACTGATGTTATTTGTCTAGTGTTTGTGCATTTCTATTTATTGTAGACAAACAACGTGTTGGAGGATGGATGGATTGCGCCATAACGATCATATCAAATAGAGGTTGGCGGAATAGTGGGTGAAGCCTATGCAATTCAAGTTGAAGATTCAGGTTCTAGCTTCATCCGCAATGTGTACCAAGTCAAGCTTATTGAAGATCAAGATCAAGCTTGGGTAACATTAGTTTAGGTTTATATTATGTGTGTTGGTACTTTAAGCTCAATCATATATACACACTCATTATATTGGTTTCCTTGTGTATATATAGTTATATATATATACAACACAAGTTTTGGTTTTCATATATATTGTATATACATAGTTATATATATATACACATTCTAGTTTTGGTATATATAGGTATATGTATACATACATGTTTTTGTTTCCAAGTTTATATAAATATGAATTTACATCTTTCATATTTATTGTTTTGGTTTTTC